TTCGCGATCGCAACGCTCGAGTCCGCCCTCTATCGGGAGCCTGCAAATATCAGACATTAATTTATCACGTTTTCATTTAGTTCCATCAAAATCATCTTTCATGACGGACGCAAATTCTTCTTTTCAGCAGCAAATTCTTCTTTCTTTCTCTTTTCTTAGCAGCAAATGAAGATCAAAATTTCCCTAAGGAACAGCTGAAGAACTTGAAAAAACTAACCAGAACATGCCAAACATTGAAGCAGATCACGCCAAACATTTGAAGAACAATTTCTCAATAATTTTTACATTTCTATTACCAACAAGATCATTTGCTGTTACAGATGTGTATATTACGGTGAAATAATTTTTTCTGTCTTCAATTCATTACAAATTAAAATGAAGTCAACATTGCTTTCGTCATTCCAATAAAGAAATGTGAATTCAGAACGTCAAGAACTGCAATAGTTATAGAATTCTTCCTTGTTATAGAACAGTATATATTTATGTATCCATATAATTCGGAAAACAACAATAAAGAATCAACCAAATTACTTGAAATAGTGTCATTTGTGCTGATGATTAATACATTTTTTATCGTTTTCTTGGTACGTATTTCTTAGTTTTGAAAGAATAGATAATTTCAACTAGAATTCAGCTGTTCTGTTTTTAAGCTAAATATTTAAATTCATATTGAGATCTTACAATTATTAAATTTTGATGTGTCGTGGTATGTTATCTAAAAGTAATAAAGGGATAATCTATGCACATGTTATCTGAAAATAAAACTTTCAAACGAAGAACATTTCATTTGGAACTCTACGGATTTATAAAGAAGGTAAGTGTTATGATTTTTATAATAAAAAATTAGCTTGTAATTTTTTTTCTTCTTATTTGATGATAGTTCTCTACAGAATGGTTTCTTACGTCTGATTTAGAACTATAAGAATAATAAGAAAAGAAACTATAAGAAAGTTTTTATTTCAATGTAAAGAATTCTTAAAATCGTTTTTTATCCTAAGAATTCTTTATTTTCCGTTTTATAGTTTATAATTTTTTGATAAAAATTGTTGTCAAAATACTTTTTTTGAAAACATAAATGGTATAACATTATGTGTTTATGTATACTTCTTGCATATTCTAATGTTTCAAGTAATATGATTCAGAAAAGTATGAATAAAAATTCGGTACTTATGTATTAACGCCACAGCAGCTACAGATTTGGCTGTTTTTAAGTGCCGCCAATCTACACCTAAAATTTTTGTGACAAATCATAAAACGAAACACTTTATTTAAAATCAAAGTAGTTTATCGGATTTCGGTGGACAATGGGCAAAATATTTCGCTCCAGAAAAAATAAAATTGCATCTTGTTCTATTTTTGGCAAATCCCAAAGACGCATTTTCGTAGCACTAAAAAATGGTAACAAAAATCGAAGAACAAATCATTTTGGAATTCTTCTGATTTATAAAGCAGGTAAGTGTTAATTTTTATAAAATAAAAAATTTTACTTTTAAGTAGTTTTTTTCTTGATGATAGTTTTCTATAGAATGGTTTTCTACGTCCGATTATGAATCAAAAAAGAAAAAACATGAAAGTTGTTTATTTTAATATAAGGAATTTTTAGAATTGTTTTTTTTTTTTTTTGTATCGTAAGCATTCTTTACTTTACGTTTTTCAGTTTCTAAATAATGATTTTTATTAAAACTTAAAATTTTTTGATAAAATTACTTGTCAAAAAACTTTATTTACAAAATTAAATTACATAAAATTATGAAGCTTATGTATACTTTTTGCTTATTTTAATGTTTGAAGTAATATGATTCTTAAAACTATGGAATGTAAAGTTTAAATAGGCCTTTCAGGTTATATCATTAAATTTAGTAAAACTATTTCTCAGGCATTAGGTTTTAACTCTAATAAGAAGATACATATTTTTTTCTGTTTATTTACAAATATTTTTCAGATGTGTTTTGGATGTTCCTTCTTTAAAAAAAAAAAGATACCATCTTGTTTTCGGTTGTATAAGAAAGGATATCAAACATTTTTCTTTTTTAAATTTAATAAGCCACATTAAAGAAGGAACGTTACAATGCTACACGCTACATTAAAGACGTCTCCAGAGTAACTGAATGACGGTTCATATAGAAATCGCAGGTATGTGTCTCATACAACAACGCCCCCTATAGTTCGTTGCGATCGCGAATATTGTAACTATAAAGTTGTATTTAACTTTGATATTAAAATTTTGAGCTCAGCTATTTGGAGTAAATGAAAATTTTATCTATTAAGTTTTGTTGCCATCATTTCAGTATCTTAAGAACCTTACAAACTGTGTTTAAAAGGAGAGTATCGTATCAGATATCTATAGTAATCGTGAGAATCGTAAAATAAGTTTGTAAAATTGTTGATGATTATGAATTTTTTTCTGTGGATAGAGTTGCCTGCTTTTAGATTTCTGATAAGTATCCTTGTTTTTATGCAATTAAAATTAAGGAATTTTTTAGAATAATAAAATAAGATTTAAAAAATCTAAAAACTGAGAAACATGTAGTTTTTAATTATTTACAAAAAACCACAAATTGCATATTTTATTGCATTAAACTTTTGATAAAAATTTCTAAAAACTATCAAGCGCTATTTCCCATTGTTTACTTAAGTGACACCTTTATTTCCTGCTTTTTTTTAAACGTGTTTTGCATTCACAACAATTTCTTGGAAAAAATTTACTAAATAGCAACTTATTTGGCTGTTATTTTACTACATTCAAGCAAAGCAGTCAACCATTATAAGATGGTATTCAAATTGTTTACTGTGAGAAAAATCGTTGATTAACAGCTTTCGCTTAATATGATTAAGTAACCATAATTTTATCGTACCAACTAAAACCACCTAATCAAGCTACTTAATCCCCTGCAGATGGGTACGTAGTATAGTGGAGAGAGCAACTCTGCCTATCTCATAGCCGACAGATCGAGGGTTCGAGTCCCAGTGTTGACACCATAATATATCCTCCATTTTTTTCAACACATGAAGAGCTTCCAGTGTCCTGCACTCCCTAATTTGTGACCCTGGATAATTAGAATACGATATTTTTAATCTCGCGTAGATGGCAGCACCATAAAGCTGCTTAACATAAAAACGTTTATATACGGCTTTGAAACCATGCTAGTAATAAATTATTACAAAAATATAAAGTTTTGAATTCATGGGTTTTTAACCATTCTAGTTGTAAACTGTTTCAAAACCGTAAAGGTCAATAATGTTCATTACCGTAAACTTTACGGTTAATTTGATGGATAAATTTCTGCCTGTAATTTTACCATAATTTTAGAATAAAAATTTTAACAGTGTGACGTCTAATAATACTATATAATCAAAAGTAATCAAGAAAACACAAGATGGCGAGGGTAGAGGCCTCTTAAGATATCATCTTTGCTTTTGTTATCAGTTTCAATTAATTATTTATCGATCACGTAATCTTAATTTTAGTATAACATAAACTGAACTGATGAAAAATAATTCCCAACTTAGTGGCTCTCGAGATAAGGATTTCTCGAGAAATACTATTCATTAATATGTTAATGCGTATAAGAATGAGGAATAGGAAGAAACAAAAAGAGATTTTGAAGAAACTTTCCTTAATTTTCTCGCTACAAAGTAGTACTCTTGTTTCCTTTATTGGATTACGTCACATAAGCTTGATGGATTTGTTTCAATTCAATTGTCGAATCATTTATAAGCAAACAATCGTTTATTTTGTCCAGAAAGTTCAATTTTTTAACATATAGGGCAGTTTAAGAGTAATAAAAATTAAATTATTCTCTTTTAAAAAAAGTACGGATAAAACTACAAGAATATGGTTAAATTTACTGTGTTTCTGGATAATGGGGATCACTGAAAAGCTCATTAATTTTTACCTAAGCGTTTGTTAATGATTTTGGTAAAATTACCTATTAAATAAATAAATAATTTATTCAGTGAATTTACTTTTCAGTTTTGTATCTTTTACTAAATGTGTGGTAATAAGAAATATAATTTTGAAAATCAGAATTTTTGGTAAACCCTTACCATATGAAAGGAAAAATTACTAAATGAATGATTTAAATACCGTATATTTTGGTCTTATTGACGAGAATTATGGCCTTTCTTGCCTGAAATGCCATTACCATACAGTTTGGTAATTTTGGTAGAATAATAATGACTTTTGGAAAAATATGGTTTCATAATATGTGATCAAGGTTTTTTTCATTTTTTTTCATCACGATGCTTTAAAACATAGCATTAAAACTATTTATTTGGTTTAATTTACTTTCTGTTTGTATTATTTACTAAAGGTGTAGTAATAAGTACTATAATTTAGAAAACTTGAATTTCTGACAAACCGTTACCATGGGAACGAATAAATTTACAATTGAACTGTTTAAATGCCGTATATTTTGATTTTATTCACCAGAATTATGCTGAAAAGTCATTATCATACAATGCCGTAATTTTAGCAGATTCTTTTTTTCCTGTGTAGCTGAAACTACGCAAAATGCTTAAAAACTGAAGAAGTAGTTTCAAAGGAACTTTTTTTTTCTCGAAGTTTTATGGAAAAAAAAAAAACTTCTCGCTGCAAAAAAGTACTTCTGTTCCTGTTATTTGACTTCTCCAAATCAGCTATATGGATTTTGTTTTTCAATTCCATTTCCGAGTGGTTTATAAGCAAATAGTAGTTATTTTGATTAGAAATTTCAACCAATTTAAAATAGAAGGGTTTAAGAATAGTTGTAATGATTAAATTGTTTTTGAAATTATGCGTCAAAATTGAAAACTAAGCGGTAAAGTAAATTTTTGATCAAAGTTTAAAAGAAAATAAATTTCCGGCATCAAACTATGTGTCATATAAGCTCTATGAATTTGTTTCAGTTCTTCAGTTCAGTTCAAACGCTTGATTTATAAACAAATAATAGTTTAAATTTTCCAGAAACTCTTATTTTGTCAAAGAGTTTTTAAACAAATAAATAAATGACCATTAAATAGAAACTTTTATCAAAAAATTTATTTATCATTTGAAAAACATTACAATGAGCTCTCAATCAAGACCTCAGAAGAAACATTCATTTTCTTATTATTATCCTGAAAATATCATTGCCATTCAATATCATTATCCTGAAAAAAAATTAAATATTATTAGACTCAAAATTTTATAAGAACCATAATCAAACAAACTAGTATCAGAACTTGTCAGTAACTTGGATTTTAGCTAAACATTTGTAAAAATTTGAGCATTTAACATTAATATAAAACAAAAAAGCTAACATAGCAGAAGCAAATATATATATAGAATCTAAATTTTAAAATAAATCAGATAGCTTAAATACCAAGTTTTTAAATATCGATATACAGGGAACGAGAATATGTCCTTTCTCAAGAGCTTGCTTCTTCACAACTGATCCATGCTCGAAACTTTAATGAAACATAAGATTCGGTTTTGATAGATGAGAACAAAAGGTGATTTTAACCGTCTCTTTAGAATATTAAAATGTCTCTTCTCAAACAAATGTAATTTTGAAATGCTTTAAACTTATAAAAACACTGGACAAACGTAAACTGCTCCGAGAATGTTATACAGGGTGTTCCGAAGGGACAACTCTTACTGCATATTTTTCAAATTTAAATTTTTGTCTAAATGAAACATAAATTGCGTTTATTAGAAGCCGCAAATTAAAAATTATGTGGGGTGCAAAATCTTAGCCTAATCGGAATCTTAAAAAGAAAATTGTGAAAGCCTGTTTAATTTTCACACGTTTCAAGTTTCACCAAGTAATCAGATTGGTTAATATGTCTTCCCCCCCCCCATCCTTTCTAACTAGTTATCTCTGTCAAATCACTATATCAGTATTCGATAGCACGTTTTCTCTCGCTTAAATATTTATTAGCGCCTCCGGATGAGTTTCAGTTTTAGCTTTTAAAATTTACAAGAATTTTCAAAATAATTAATGACAGTCTCTTATTGCTAAAAATTTATCAATAAAATTCCCTGCTTCTAATTTTCTATTCATTTATCTTTATTAAGTTAGTTGAAATTACTTTCATCATAAGATTTCTGAATTAGCATTTTCTTAGCCCAAGCGGATCCCTTTCTTTAATGAACAAGTTTCATGTCCCAAAGGTGTCCACTTTAACGAAGTTTCCTTGAATTAAAATTCTAAGCAAGAGTAAAATATATGTTTGCTCGTAACTAGATGCCCGGTTAAATAGGTCGAGTCCGGGTACCGGGATTTGAACCTGATTGAAACCTGATCCGAGTACCTGGTAATGGGTAATAAAATTCTTTTATTGGGTTCCGGTAATAACCGGGCGTCATGCCGTGGTGGCTAAGCGGATGGAAAATTCGCCTTAGAATGAGGTGACTCAAGTTCAAATCACAGCGGAGGCTCGTTGACAAGAATTCCACTTACGGCTCAGACTGACCACAGTGCTGACGTAGAATATTCTTAGTGATAGATGGATTGTGGGCTAGAATCACCAAGCTGTTGCGCCCACCATGGGAGGTTTTCGTGGTTTCCCACTCCATATAACAAAAACACAGGTTAGTTTCATCAAAAAGTGCCCCACAAAGGCTAATTTGTCCCTAGACTTCATCTAGGAATACCCTCGGCTTCTGGGTTTGATTCAAAATTACAAGGATACTGTGTTGAACTTTGGTAGTCAGGAACTCAAAAGTGGGTAAGCTGTGCAACGCCGATAATAAAATAAAATTAAATAACCGGATGCCCGGTCTATCCTTTATTGATATTGAATTACAAATCAAATGTTTGTATTCTTAAAACGAATCACTAATCAGTAATTACCAATAATAATTTTTTATAAAATTTTAAACTTGTTTCTTTATACCAGATTGTTGACAATTTAAATAATAATTTTATCTTTTAAAGTCTAATCTTGCAACAGAAGATTATACTAAATGAAGATTTTACATAACTAAAGTCTGATCTAACATCAATCTAAAGAGTAGGCTGAAAAATATAAATTAGATGGCCTTGGGTATCTAATTTATATATTTTCATTTCCACTGTATGATGACATATGGTATTATTTTGCTTGATAATTTTTAGCAAATTAAAAAATTTTCGTATTTTAAACATTCATCAAAAAATCCTGACACCACCTTTAATAATGAAATAACTGCATTTGTTTCTGTTTATATCCTGCAGACGTTTTAGGTAAAATAAATTAAAGGTGATTCTACCAGATTTTAAAATATTTTAACACGAAAGATTTGATAGAAAAATTAATAAATAATTTGCTTCATCTGATGTACATGAATCGAAAAAAAAATTGATTTTTAAGAAAACTAAAAATTATAAATTTCAATAATTTTTTTCAAATCAATATTTTAAACTGTTTTAAAAAATATAGCCCTACAACATTTACTCAGTAATTATTTCTTTCAACGTGAACATAATTTTACCATTTAAAATCCATATCCGTAGCGGCCATATCCTCCATAACCAGCACCATATCCTCCATAACCAGCACCATATCCTCCATAACCAGCACCATAGCTTCCATATCCAGATCCGTAGCCTCCATAGCCGAGTCCATATCCGTCGTATCCAAGACCATATCCACCAAATCCGTGCCCTTGAGATTTAATGAAGTATCTTGAACTTACACCATGTCCGCCATGTTTGCCGTAATGATGTATGACATCATTGCTGTAAACCAAGGCAAAGCAAGCCAAAAAGAAAAACTGTAAAAAAATCATTTAAAATTACTTTTCAAATAGTTACATTCCCAACTCAGAATAAAGAAGTTTATCTTCATGCTGAGATTAATGAAGCGTAAGCAACGTCATACGTCCTAGTGAAAAGATATAAAAACCTAAACTGGGCAACTTGCTTTCTCTTGCTGTAATTATACTGCTATATAAATGCTAAATTCTGTATCCTAACAATGATGATGGTTCTGATTGATAATTTCTTTTAAACTTTAACTAGCATTTAAATTGGTACTATTCCGCTTTTTAAGGGTGGGGCAAGTATCTGTGTATAATATTTTTTTGGATCTTGAATTCATTGACCGAGCATAATTTAATGCAAGGAACAGAATTTTTTTTTTTTTTTATTCATTTTCGGTTCAGTTGATATTTATAAGCTATCATGGCGTAATTACTAACCAAAAAATTAATAATAAATAATGAATAAAAAATAATAAATTCAAAAGTTCAATTCTTTTAATTTAAATTTTTTTTCCTCACTAATAAAATAAACTTTATAACATAGCAAGAGTGGGTGATAATATTACTGATTTAAAAAAAGGTGTACTGCAGGTTGATAGTATAACTTTTATTACTTTCTTGTAAAAGACAACTTCGCATACCGGTATCTTCTTTGTTTCTTCCGTAACACATGATTTATTCCTCTCTGATGGGTTTTGTGTTATTATTTTGTTAGTTTTTTATACAGGAAGATATATTCAATTAATATTATGTAAGTTTTCTCATCAAAAAACTCAAGCGAGAATATAAATTTCTAACAAACCTTATTTTTAGCTAGAAGTAATGTTAAAATTTGTTTAACATTTCTTGACTAAAAATAAAAAAATTAAAAAAATTAAAAGAAAAAAAAATTCAAATCAATAAAATTGAAAATAATTTTATAAATTAAAGATATTTTCGTAAACACTACTTTTTAAACTCAGTCAAATTAAATGTAAAAAAATATTTTACGGAGAAAAAAAGTATGGTCAAAACTAACTGAATATTTTAAAATTTAACGTGCTTCTGGCTCTATGGTAACACCAAAAAGCTCGGTAATTTTTATCGAAGAACTTTGGTAATAATCTTGATAAAATAAGCAGTAAAATAAATTTTTATAATATGTGATAAAATTTAGTAAATGGGAAAAATTTGTTAATTTTATCATGATAGCTTAGAGCATGGTATAAAAGCCATTTATGCGTTTAAATTTACTTCTTAGTTCCGTACTTTTTTCTATATGTGTGATAATAAGAATTTTAATTTTGAAATTTAGAATTTCCTGTAAGCCGTTACCATATGAACGGAAAAGTTATCATCAAATGAATAGTTTAAATTATCAAAAGAATAGTTTAAATACCGCATATTTTGGTTTTATTAGCCAGATTGCCATACGTTAATTATACAAGAATTTTTTTTCTCCACGTTTAGAATACTTGAATCATAATATTGCTTCGGTATATATTTTCCAAACAGAATTCATTAATACCTCAGAAAAATTTTTTTTTAAATATATAATAAAAAGATATTGTAAACAACACTTACTGCGATTTTGATCATGTTGATTATTTGTTTGATTTGAACTGAACTAACAACAGAACTAACTTTCCATTTTTGCTCCTGCCTTATATATCAGCTAGTTCTACTTCAATTAATCAGTCATTTATAACGCAACGAATAGAGATTTCGTTATCAAAAATTCCAATCAAAATTAAATTGTTCATGCTTGCACGCATTTTGAAAAATCTTGCCGAATTAAATCATGCTTATATTTTAAGAAACGTTACGAAATTGAATTAATCCACATCTTATTATTACATCTCAAATTTAAAAACAAATATTTCATTAGTGCTTCAAAAAAGTAAACAGTTTTACAAAAAGTTATGAGAATTTTGTTACTCTGAGAAAAGTATGGTTAAAACTATCAGAATATCATAAAATTTACTGGGTTTCTAGTTCTATGGAACACTAAAATGTTCGGCAATTTTTACCGAAGTGCTTTGGTAATTATTATGGTAAAATTAACAATAAAATATGCTTTTATAATAAATGAATAAATTTGGTAAGAATTCCGAAATTTGTTAATTTTATCATGATGCTTTAGATCATGGCATAAATACCATTTGTTCGGTTAAATTTAGTTCTCAGTTTCGTTTTTGCTACTAAATATGTCATAATAAGATCTATAATTTTAAAAATCATGATTTCCGGTAAACAATTGCAATGCAAACGGAAAGATTACCAAATTAATGGTTTAAATATCATATATTCTGGATCTTACTACCAAAATTATTGGGGTTATTTTTCTTTGTTTTTTTCATTAGAAATATCTTTACTATATAGTATGGTATTTTTCTCCATGCAGGAAAATACTAATAAGGGGAGATGTAAATATGAAAGTTTAGGAATATTTCAAAATCTTTTTAAAAGAAAATGTATCAGTTGACAATATACCCATTCGAGAAGTATAAACTGGAATTCATAGGAATGAGATATGTTGATGACAAATTTTGCGTTGATACATATGGGAATGTTTGGAAGGGAAGTTAATTTGAGGGCATGAAAAATATTAAGGTATTTTTTATATAAGAATTTCAAACTATACCGGTACAGAGGAACTTGAGTGCATATTCTTTTTAAAAAAATGCACTTCAACTTCTTATAAACCACAGTTGATGTGAACAACTTATCTCCCAACCTCATATTCTGTGAGGGAGATAGAGCCTTAAAAATTATTATTAAACACCAAAAATGAATGATTTTTTTTTTTGTTGTTAATATCACTCCAGGTTAAAAAAAATTTAAACAAATAAATTTTTCAACCGAGCTTTCACAATTTATATGCAAATCAATAAATTTTCAGGAATAAACTACAAAAATTATTTTTGAATACAAAGCAATATTTAGATTTCATATTATTTAATACACTTGCACTTTCATAAAAAATATTATTGTTATTTTTCATATGGGCACTCTTAATTATGGAGATATTTAATTGAGCTTCATTAACAATAATAGAATTTTTTTTTGTTGAAATTTTCAATTTAAGAAAGCTTATAATTTTCCTATGTTATTATTTGGTGATTTAAGCATATATGTTACCAATGTCATTTTAGTTGGACAAAATCATTATTCTTAATTGCGTTTATAGTTTTAGGTTAACTAATTAATAAATCCCAATCTTTAAAATATTGTGTGAGCAGCAAATAACCATTGGAGGGAAACTATTTTTTAAAGAATTCTTCGTGAAATAGAAAGGACTTAAATATTATGAATGCAGTTAATCTTTTAAGTAAATCATACAAAAATTAAAAAAAAACATTATTTTGATATCATTTTGATATCTTTGATTGGTTTGGAAATATTTTTTTATTCATTATAATATTTCTTCTCAATCTAATTACTTTAAGTCAATTATTGCAATCATTTGATAACCAATTGTTTTAGTATAATTCTTTTTATGTAATATATCCGACTGGAAACCTGTAATATGAATGTAATAATAAACCTGTAGTATGTAATATGAACAGATCATTATATTTTGAAATGTTTTTTTTTTATAATGTAGCCATAAAATGTTCGCAAAGTTTCTTATCAAATTCCACTATCAAAGAAGTTGAACTATATATTTCAAGATATTAGAAATCTATATCAAATTAAGGAGCAAATCCTTTCTCATGTTTCTAAAATATTTATGCCAGGTTACGCCATTTTAGTATGCCAGGTTAGACCATGGAACGATTCAAATTCAGATAACCTAGATCAAAAATTATTGACATATTCATTTTTTTTTTAATTTCATGTGCTGCATATCTATTTATATTTTTTAACTGTCTTGTTATTTAATTAGTTAAAATCTCACAGACTAATTAAAGAAAAATTCTTACAACGCTAGAATTAGAGATTTATTTTAATATCGATATCAATCCTTTGAATTGTTTGAACATCATTTTCGATTCACTATAATATTTTCTATAAATACAATTATTTTAAACCAATAATTACAATCACTTGAAGCAGTTGGTATATTTCTTTATTCCAGTATGCATTTTTTTCTTCATTCCCCTTCGTATATTTCTTTTTATTCAATATAGCTGAATAGAAGCTATGTTGACTATATGCGACTAGAAGCTATACGAGACTGTATTAATATTATTTTTTAAATGTTTTTTTTTAATAAGGTAATCATATTTTTTTTCCAAAGTCAAATGTAAAATTCCATTATGATCAAGTTAAACTATATATTTCAAGATTTTAAGAATCTGTAAAAGATTAAAAATAAATCTTTTCACATATTTTTGCCAGAAACTCGCATTTCTCTCCCAAAAAGAGAATTATCTTTGAAAATCTATTACGTAACACTCATTCCATCTATGCAACAGAACTGAACGCTTTGTTTGAAAATAAACAAATCAGTATTAATTTAGCTGACACTCAATAAGTGTCATTTTAGTATGTATTCAGTGCAATCAGAATTTATAATCTTTTCAAATTGAGTGATTTTATCAATCTTGTTACTCCATAGAACATTAGGATATGCATCTGCGAAATTTAAGTTGAACTTAAACAAGCCATAAAATTGTTCTGATAAGGATTAGTTAAGCTTGACTACTTTTTGCTTTCGATTTCGCCTGAAACTAAAAAAAATATCATTGATCTTGAATTTTCAGAAATGAATTGAATAATATTAAACTAAAAAAAAATATCATTGATCTTGAATTTTCAGAAATGAATTGAATAATATTGCAACTGGAATAAAATGTAAAGCATGCTGTGCTAAAATAAACTTGGTTACAGTTTTGAATAATTTAAAGGTATTTTCATGAAGAGCTGACTGAAACCTTTTAATTATGAGTAAAATCGTAAGTTTAATTTGAAGAGTTGAATATTTGATTTGATACACACTGCCCTATTTTTTCTGTATTTATTTTTGTTAAAAACTTTGATAACTGTCCAGACACACTCGTATAAAAATTAGTCATAAAATATACAGGGTGTTCTAAATTAATCACCATTAACATATAGATTTACACAGAAGAACCATTACATTCTGACCACCCTCCATCTATAACAATGGGCACGTCCATGTTATCATGGTTTCTCGCACAGGAACAATGCTTTCATGGGGCACATTAGGACCCATAATCCTCATAGAACAATCCCTGACGCCTGTAAGCTTCTTGAACATAGTTGCAGACCAGGTTCACCCATTCATGGCAACAGTTTTTCTTGCGGGGGATGGTGTTTACCAACAGGATAATGCACCATGTCATAAGGGTCGAATCGTCGAGGAACATTCCAGTGACTTTCAAATCATGTCATCGCCCCCAAATTCACCTGACCTTAATCCAATCGAGCATTTGTGGTCCTACTTGGAAAACCAAATTCGTGCTGCCACGCTACCCCCTCACAATGTGAGGGAATTGCAGGACCAGTTGGTGAGCGCTTGGTACCAGATACCTCAGACTACCTATCAGCACCTTGTGGAATCAATGCCAGGGCGGGTGCTAGCAGTTTTGAGGGCTAAAGGTGGTCCTACATGTTATCAGCAGGGTGGTCATAATGTAATGGCTCTTCGGTGAATAATTCTTGCAAAATGGAAGTCAATTCAGTATACGCTTTGGTGGTCTCAAAAGCTCTATCGGAACCAGTCTAATCCCTCTGATTGAAGGAGGGTGTGCGAAACATCGAAACTATTTTGATTAATTAAGAATCCAAAGAGGAGTTAAAAATATGTTTTAAAAGGAAGTTATACACGTTATGATGTTTAGCACAAACTCGTTTTTGAATGATTATTTGACTAACTTAGAAAGTATCTCCGTTTCTTCCCTATCTAAATATTAATTTGCGGCCCATGTGAATATTTCGTTTATTTCCTTTGGACAAGGTTTCCAAAAGCACACATAGAACTCCGATCATCCAGACCGATGGAGACTGAATCCGATACAATTTTTTTTTTAAAAAAAGGATGATTGGACAATTTTATTGTATTACTTTCAAAGCAATGTTTCTTCTTCTTTTTTTCTCTCCGCATAACTTCCATACACACTTTTTCTTGGCTTTGTTCTGGTAATTGTAATAATTCGCAAATACTCCAATTTTCCTCGCCTATGAATTCTATTCCACTTAGTCCACTTTCATCAGCATTATAGATAAATTCCTTGTTTTAAAATTCGGGTTCAATCCACATTTTAAATTAATTATGAAATAAGTTTTTGAGCATTTTCAATTTTTTTTTTTTTTTTTTTTTTTGTGCTCCTTTCTCTGGGTCACTGGGGAACCAAAAAAAAGCGATCCCCCCCCCGTCTTCTAGAAAATTTGAAGCCATAGCTATACCAATATATAGAACCAATTCTTGTTTTTTTTTTTTTTTTTTTTTTTTTTTTTTTTTTTTTTTTTTTTTTTTTTTTTTTTTTTTTTNAATCGAAGTTCGAATACTACAGGTTCGACTATTTTACAAAACACCTCAGCATGATTTAATTTTAGAAAACTGTTTTTAATAATTTTGTTCTGACATTTATAGTATTTTGTAAATGTTAATATTTTTAACACCTATGAATTCAAGTCAAGTTCAATTTTATGGGAATTTCACTTATTCAGAAGCCGTTAAAAAATATTAACATTTACAAATT